TCTCTGTGGTTTTGGAGCCTGTCCTGGAACTAGCTCTTGTAGACCAGGCTGGTCTCGAACTCACAGAGATCCGCCTGCCTCTGCCTCCCAAGTGCTGGGCGCCACCACCGCCCGGCAAACGTTTCCGTTCTTAAGTTTAAAACAGAGAAGTGTAATCTGTTGCAATGGCATATGCCTATCATCCCAGCAAGCAAGAGAGTAGAAAAGTGTAACCTGTCAGTAGCAGTGGTGTGTGCCTGTCACCCTAGCAACCAGGAAGGGGAGAAAGGAGTAACATGTCATAGTGATTTGTGCCTGTCATCCCAGCAAGAAAAACTGGGGTGGGTGGGGGAGAATTCTTAAGTGAAAGCAAGGTTTACAGACTAGAGAGATAAAAGCCCAGAGGCAATAATAGGTAGATGGGATAATTTAAATTGAGAGAAGCTGGCTAGAAACAAGCCAACCTACGTCTGGGCATTCATAAGTAATAATAAGCCTCTGTGTGTGTGATTTATTTGGGAGCTGGGTGGTGCACACCCCCTAAAAAGCTAAAAGAGTCAAACATCACATAACACATGTTTAAATCTATAGTAATACCTAGGACTTGTTTGTGATGGTCAGCATTGTCAACTTGATAGATTCCAGAATCACGTGGCGACAGGCCTGTTGGCATTCCACCAAATGGTTGCCCTGGTTTTGTTAACTGAGGTGGGAAGGCCCACTCACTATAAACGAGATCCTTTCTTAACAAACGATCTTTGCTTCATACTGACTTTGATTGATATTCTTTTCTGAAACATCACCAAGAACCCCAGCCTTGGGCTGGTGAGATGGTTCAGCGGGTTTAAAAGTATGCTCTGTAGAGCCTAACAGCCTGAGTTGGATGCCCCAAAATCACAGACACAGAGGGATTTGATATGGGAGGGTGCCCTTGGAACTATCCCTACTTAGATATCGAAGTACGATTGCAGTTATATTTGTGTTAGCACTGGCTGAAATAGTGATGGTTTGAGAAACTTTAAATAAACAGAGCACTTTTGTTCCTCTTTCTCACTGTTGACAGATAGGACTTGGGATGGGTCTAATACACAGTGAGAGTCACTTGGGCTTGCAAACAGCCACCACATTTCAATAGGATTTTTGTTTTCAAAGGACTATAAGTTTGCTTTCCATTCAAAAGTAAGATATTTTGCATTAAAAGATGAATTTGTTTTTTGGACACAGATTAGTTAATACAGTTCAGACTGGCTCCGAACTGACTACGCAGCCAAAGATAACCTTGAACTCCTGATAATCGTTCCTCTATCTCCCAAGTGCTGGCTTTACCAGGAGAGGAGAGTGTCAGGGGCCAGCCGTTCAGCCACCCAGCCAGCCACCGAGTGAGAACTCCAGGAGTTCAGGTCTAGCCTGAGTGTATGATGAGTTCCAGACTAGGCTGGGCTGTAGAGTGGAACCTCAGAAAGTGCTCAAAATTGTTAGCAATTCGGGAAATGCACATTAAAGCAAATAATTTTTAATTTATATTTATTGTGTGGGGTAGGGTGTGATTATACCATCCAATGTAAGTATGGGGAGTAGAGGAAAATCTCTGGGAGTCAGGTGTCTCTTTTCAAGTAGATTCCATGGATCAAGCTCAAGTTGGAAGGCTTGGTGGCAAACACCCTTATCTGCTGAGTCATTTTCCTGGCCCCAAAGTAAAAAAAAAAAATTATGGTGTCTTGGCTTTTGTTTTTGAGACAAGGTCTCAATATGTAGCCAGGGCTGGCCTGACCTCAAATATTTTGTTACACTGCTGCTGTGAGGTAGTTTCTTTAAGAATAACAAGAAGATGTGGGTGGGCCTGGGAGGATTTCGGAGCAGAAGTAGGAAGATGAATATAATCAAGATGCCTTGCATAAAATCTCCTAAGAATTATCAATTTACGATATTATTAATATTAATAACTATACCATTAATTACTAATTTAAATGATTTATAGTATTCTGGTATTTAAAAAAAAAAGCTCAACATGAAACAACCTTTTCCTTCCAGAATGATCTGAAGGTGGCTAGAATGTCTGAGAAATTTTAAATCCTTTGAAGAACACATGTATTTTCCATGCTAATCTCTTTTGTCTTGATTGTCTCTTTTACAAGTAAAAGAACTGGTCGTAGTTCCACGTGCCTTTAATCCCAGAACTAGGGAGGCAGAGGCAGGTCTGAGTCTGAGGCTAGCCTGGTCTACCTAGTAAATTCCGGGATAGCCAGAGCTACAGAGTGAGATCCTGTCTTGTAATGATTGAATGAAAAACATTCACAAGGTGGCTCAAAGCCATCTGGAATTCCAGTTTCAGGGCATCAGATGCCCTCTACTGGCCTCCACTGGCACCAGGCACACACACACACACACACACACACACACACACACACACACACACACACGCATGGACATTTGTGCACAGGCAAAACACCCTCACATCTTAAAAAAAAAGTAAAACAAGAGGAAGATAAGAGTTTCTGTTATTGTAAGCTAAATAAATAATGATTTCACTTTTCAGACTTCTTTTCACATCTTTATAAACCAAGTTTAATATGCATTAAGTTTCCATATTCTACAGTCTTGCTACAAATGCTTATCTTTGGATTAATTCTAATAGAGTTGCTCACTACATAATGGTTAAATTTTCATAATATATGAGCAGAAATATCAAAGCACAAAATGATAGTTCATACAAGAAACTGAAGGCGTAAGTCACAAACAATGCCACACCAATTTGGGGTTATGATTATTAGGGTGGTATTTATTTAAAGGGAAAAAAACTTACAGATCACTGTCCCAGGCAACAGCCCTCTACGCAACCAGGAAAGGAGTCTAGTCGCCAGCGGAGCAGGAAGTGAAGAGAGAGAGGAGAGGGAAGTGGCCGCTTTTTTAAAGGGAGAGAAACCACGCCCCAATGGGCTGGTACCTCAGCGGTGATAGGCTGGAGGAGTGGGAGGACCTCCCGCAACGAGAAACCAAGTATAATTCTAAAATTATCACTTTGGGTCACTTATAGCAGTGCTTCTCAACCTAATTTTAATAATGGGATCTGTTTGTAGTGTTAAAATTTGAAGTTGGGCATGGTGACTGAATCTTATAACCCCAACATCGAGGGCCTGAGACAGGAGGAGCATCAATTTATAAATCAGCCTGGGCTAAATATTCAAGACTTTCCTCCCTTTTGGCTTTAAAATTGCGTCAGAACGTTTTGAGAGGTTGGCAAGGTGTCTCAGCAGATAAAACCACTGCTGTCAAGCCTGGCAGCTTGAGTCCGATTCACAGGACATGCGGAAGAGAACCAGTTCAGATAAATTGTCCTCTGACCTCCACTTACATCCTGTGGCTTGCCTTTCTGAACACACACAAATAAATAAAAATGTGATTTAAAAAAAAGATTTTTTGCTTTTCAAGATAAGGTCTTTCTGTGTAGTCCTGGCTGTCCTGGAACTCGCTCTGTAGACCAGGCTGGCCTTGTAGAGATCTACCTGCCGCTGCCTCCTGAGTACTATGATTAAACACATGGGTTTCAAGAGAGTTCATTTAAAGAGCAGCAACAAGCTGGGCATGGCGGTACATGCCTGCAATCCCAGCACTTGAGAGGCTGAGGCAGGAGGATTGCTGAAGATTTGTGAATGTCTTAGGCTATATAGTGAGACCTAGGCCGTAAAGCAAGATCCTGTGTCAAAACAAAAATAAACAACAACAACAAAAAAAACCTGAAAAGGAAAAGTTACCATATGATGACATGATGGGTTTCTTGGTTTTTCTTTGTTTACTGTCTGGGGACACAGAGTCTCACTCTGTAGTACAGGCTGGTGTAGAAGCACAAGGATCCCAGGCCTTAGCCTTCAGAGTGCTGGGATTATGGTTACAGGCCACCAGGAAGCAGGTGACAATTTCCTTGACAGAAAATGTTGGTGAGAAGAGCGGCATTGTTTGATCGTTTTTAAATCTCCTCGATGTCTGGCCTAGGAGGACCCAGCTGGTTTGATGTAGCCCTTTATTTACCCCGTCTCACTGCCACATCGTGGGTCTACACTGAAAAATGCAAAGAACATTTTAGTATTATTGCTAATTGTCCTCACAGACCCACTGATGCTTCTAGGCCTTTCCACTTCAAGAATCACGGACTTCGAACAGTGGTTACCTGTTCTAGGTATATATTTCTATTATATGTTCATTATATATGTTTATATAAATATGAATTCATGTATCTATGAATAATGGTTGTAAAACTGTGTGAGTTAGCACATAGCAGTAATTTTAGTGCCTGGGAGATGAGGCGGTAGAATCAGGAGTTCAATGTCATCCTCAGTTATAAAGGGCATTTAGCACAGTCTGGGTAACCTGAAACCCTAGCTACTTAAATGAATAAATAAAGCAAGCAAACAGCCTTCCCCACAAACCCCAACTGAATAACAAGAAAAGCTCCCAGGCTGTTTAGCAGAGTGCCTGTACCCTCTTATATTTCCACTGGCATTGTCTCTATTATCCAGTTTCATGCATCCAGTCTAATATTTGACATTTCTTTCATTATAACTGTTCTGGTGATTGTTGTTTTAATTTACATATCTGTCACCCCAACTACTCCTTTAATTACACTGGGGAGGCTGAAGAATTGCTGTGAATTCATGACTGGAGAGGGGAGGAGGAAGAAGAGGGCAGGAGCTGTTAGGTGTTAATTGTAAAGGTCGGAATAGGGAGACATAGTGTCCTATCTCTTTCCTTAAGCGGTGTGGTGTTTTCATTTGTGTGGATTTAGGGTATGTTGGAAGCTGAAAGCAGAGGGGCAAGACATAATGACTGTTATGAACAATAATGTTAAATGTGCTGGTTGTTAGTGCAAGGGACACAGCTCAGTAGTAGAGCAGTGACTTTAGCGTGCCCAAAGCCAGCGCCAGCCATTAAAAGCATCACACGAACACTACTGGCTTTGTGTCATGACTGGCAAGCTAAGATTAGACTGTTATGTTTCTGTGTTTTCTCTCATGTGTGGTTTGCAGGAGGACGATGGATTACTACAGAAAATACGCAGCTGTCTTTCTGGTCATGTTGTCCATGTTCCTGCATATTCTTCATTCTCTTCCTGATGGAGACTTGATTATTCAGGGTATGTGACCAAACTCAGGCTTGCAATAAAAAGGGAAACATGTATTTCTAGATGCACATCAATAATCATTTATTAATTTCTACCTGTTTTCACATATGATAAATAGTCACTCCTGAGTATATATCTAGGCACTTGTAGACTGTGAATCCCAAATTAAATTCAGTTCGGAAAATGTACAATGAAAGTGTTTTATTCCACATTCATTTTCATAGCATCCTAAACATATCTATCTGAAGTACCTTCCTTGTTGTTCCATATCTGAGTTTGACGAGAAGAAAAGTTATCCTTACTCAGATCAGCTGTTTTCCCCATTTCTTCCAGATTTCTGAAAATGTTAGCATCACTTTCACAGATGAATTTTTATATCAGTTAACAAGTGAGGGAAAAAGAAATCACGTTTGTGCGTTAAATCTGTTTTGCTCTATTATCTGCCACATCTCGTACAGAACCTGACAGGATCCCACCAGCTGGAGAATGGTGAACTATTATCTGTTATGGTTTTTCTCTTTGCTCAATGGTAATATTTGAATCTCAAATTCTAAGCACAGATGTCTTTTGTATTATCAGGCTGTCTTACCTCATCAAGCTTTCCTAATTCTGGTAATTTTTTTTCTGTCAACATTTGGAGTTTCTATGGGGAACAACAATAGCAGACTTGCCTCCAGAAACATTTTCCTCCCAAATGAACGTGGCATTTCTGTCAAGCTTCTGCGAGCTCTCTAAGCACGCAATTAGCATTGGGAGAGTCTCTGCTTGGAGGATGAGAAACCACCATGGCAAATTCCCTATGCAAGTCCGCAAAAATGATTTCTCTGTGAATGGAGCTATAGTGATTATAAAGATATCATGTATGAAGATTAATATGCTGATAAAAATACTTACTTCCTTTTTTATTGCCAATGCAAAAAGTGTTTGTCCTGTTGTACTTGGGAGAGAGTTAGTTATCTCTGAAGCCTTTCTCGGTAATCTCCTCCTTCTCTCTTTTCTGGCTAGGTTGCCCAGAATGTAAACTGAAGGAAAATAAATACTTCTCCAGGCTGGGCAACCCCGTCTATCAGTGCATGGGCTGCTGCTTCTCCAGGGCATACCCCACTCCAGCCAGGTCCAAGAAGACAATGCTGGTTCCAAAGAATATCACCTCGGAGGCCACATGCTGTGTGGCCAAATCATTTACTAAGGTGAGCACTTCCTAACAGCCCATCCAGAGATAGTTTGTACTCACAAGGCTTAATGTCTACATTGTCCAGCGAACGGTATTTATTGCTCCCTTGTACAGGCAACATCACATCTTTCCTCTTTAATTAGAAGAATAAGCTAAATGGAAAGTCTTGATGACACAGATGTAGAGAGAACAGTAGTGGCCTCAGTCTAAAAAAATAACCAACAGGAGGTGCATGGTGGAAGGTTAGACAGCGATAACAAAATATGCCAGACAAAGCAGTTCTCGGCTTTTACAGAGCAGCTAGGTGTTGACAGCTTACCACAGTTTATTATGTAGAGAACTAGAAGAGAAGGCTCCTAAAGTTGGCTAGCACAGAGAAACGGTACAGTAGGCGAGAGGAATGAAAACACTACCACCCTGGTTTGATCATCATAGTTTGTGCATCAGCATCATATTACCAAACTATACTCCGTATGCACGTGTGATTAATATATTCTACAAAGAAATAGACCCTAAGGGTTCTAAGTCTACCTGGCCCGAACTGGAGAGATTGGAGAGATGGATCAGTGTGTAAAAGCATTTGTAGACAAGAACAATGGTCTGAGTTGGGTGCCCAGGACACAGGTGATGGGAGGAGAGACCAGACTCCTTTAAATTGTCCCGATAGCACCCCGCAACACACATATACCGTATAAGCGGGAGAGAAAAGGCCCACTTGGTCTTCACAGTGAATTCTAGGTTAGCTAGGTTAGCATAATATGATGATGTCGCAAAACATCGCCAGCAAGAGTAGAAATGAATAAACAAACCAAAACACCAAAACCCAGCGACCTGGGGTACATATGCGAGATGTGTGAATCTCTGAGGTTTGACCCTTAGGAAATGTGAGGGGGGCGGCGGGGAATAATAGCAAGTAAGTAGGTATTTTTTAGGGGTGGAGATATAGATCAATGGCTGAGTGTTTGCCTAAGAAACGCTGAAATAAAGATTCCTTAAAATGGAGAGAGAGAGAGAGAGAGGGGAGAGAGAGAGAGAGAGAGAGAGAGAGAGAGAGAGAAAGAGAGAGAGAGAGAGGACAGAGCTAAACAAATGTTGCCGCCAAGGTGCTCGGTCCTTCTGAGGAAGCTAAGGCCGCGTTGGGGTGAGGCCCTCTTCCCGGGGAGCACACCCACAAGATTTTATAAGTAAATATTAGCCTAAGGGGATCACGCCCTACAAACAAGGTGATTGACTAGGCTTCCCCTACAAACAAAAGCAGGTTGAAGGAGCATAGCTTATTTTGCGATGTGAATTTAACTGTTAGAATGACTATATCCCCAGAAATTCTAAATGTAAACCTATCAAACAGCGATGAAATCATTCCGGCTACTGCCTTATTTAACGCTTTGCCGTTCTGTCTGTCTCCCTACCTCCCTGGGTCTCTCCCTTTGCAGACCACAGTCTTGGGATACGCTCGAGTGGAGAACCACACGGAATGCCACTGCAGTACGTGTTACTATCACAAGGTTTAGCTTTTGGCAGGCGGCTGTGCTGGGGATGGCTGGTCTGTGGGGCGGCGCCGTGTGACGCCGCCTCCCACCCTGCAGCAGCCTGCCATCCCCTCACACTTCAGTGAAGTTGGCAGTCTCTTCTTCTTAGGGAAAGTAGAGTCTTTAGCATGATCACCAAAGTTGGTTTCGTCAGAAATAAAGCCTTTTAAATCATCAATCACAGAATTGTCACCGTCTTTAAAACCAAAGCTATTATTACTTGGACAAGATTTATCAGAGGGAATGATCCAACGTGTTGAATTGGGACCAGAGACAGAGACATGTAGTGGATAACACTGGATAATCTTGTTTCCATCTAACCTTCTAGAAGCAAGCTGTCTTTCCATCAGCCAGTGGGCTATTTATCAGATAGCAGATTTATCACTGGGGTGGGAGAAAAAGGTACAAAAATTCGATTTTTACTCATGTTTATGTCCCCTTTACATCTCTCTTTTATTATATTGTATCAAAATATAGGTAAAGTATTAGGCTAATACATGGATATAAATTATAAGTAAATAGACATACATTGTGGATATTTGAGTTGAAAAGTTTTCATTGGTAAAATTGTACAACCCATAAACAAAAAGTAAATATGCTTCTTCGGGAATGGGAAAGGGTAAAGCATGAATTATCTATCTACATGACTTATGCCTCCCCAGAATGGAATTAGTAGTCAGGCTGTGGCTGAGTGGTGGTTGGGAACAGGGCATCACTGTCGTCAGAGGAGATAAGATTGCTCTAAAATTCCAGAAGACTCAAGCGGGTCTGAGTGTGCATGGGTAAGAGACAAGAGTAAGCTCTCCGGTGAGCACTCCCGGGGGAACAGCAGTACCACTTCTACCCAGCTCTAGAGAAGGCTCCAGAGACCAAGGACACAGCTCCATAGGGGAGCTCTTGCCTGGCACGCAGTCTCGGGTTCAACCCTACACACAAACAAACCGAGCGACATGCTACTCAGGTCTGTTAGGCATCATGGTCAACACTTCCTGAGCTTCTAGCTACAGTCATCCTCACTGTGAGGGCAACAGGATAGTCACAACATCATATTAGCCATGGTTGAAATCAAAGCTGCTCCAAAGCTATGTTCCTAAAAGAATTAGAATTTTAAAACACAGACCTAAAATTTCTTTAAAAAAATACCTGCCACAGGTAAGATTTTTAAAAATGAATTTCAAGCTGGTTATGGTGGACTATGTGTGTAATCTCAGTCCGTGTAGTACTTGGAGGGTGGAGGCACAAGGGTTCAAGATTAGCTTGGACCACATGGACCCAGTCTCAAAAACAAAACAGAAAAAAAAAAGCAAAATATGTAAAGTCTCAACCATCACAAATTTATCATTTTATCTCTAAGTGACCAATCAGTTCCTTAGCAATCTACTTCAATGTCCTGTTATTTGCGCATGTGCCCAAAGGATGTTCCATTCTGCTACAAGTACACTTGTTCAACCATGTTCATTGCTGCACTATTCATAATAGCCAGAAACTGGAAGCAGCCTAGCTGTCCCTCAATTGAGGGTTGGGTAAAGTAAATGTGTTACATTTACACAATAGAGTATTACCGAGCTGTTAAAAAAATGACATCATGAAATTTGGAGGTAAATGGATGGATCTAGAAAAAAATCATCCTGAATGAGGTAACCCAGATGCAGAAAGACAAATATGGTATATATTCACTCGTATATTATCCATTGAATAAATGATAGCCAAGCCACAATCCATAGACCCAGAGAGGTTAGGCATATAGGAAGGGTCTAGAGGACACATAGATCTCCCTCGGAGAGGAAATAAAATAGATTTTTTTTTGGGTGAACTGAGGGTGCAGGAGCAACAGGAACCAGAGGATCAGGTGGGGAAGGTTATGGGAGATAGGGTTGAGGGAAAGAATTTGGGGAGAAACAGCTGGAATTGAGGGGCATTTAGGGATGATCTGAAAACTTAGCACAGTGGAAACTTCATAAAATTATGAAGGTGATCCTAAAGATATCTCCTAATAACAGGGGCTATGGAGTCTCAACTAGCAACCTCTTGTCACCAAATGAGGCTTCTGGTAGTGGGACTAGGTTGCATCTAGTTGAGTTGTTAACCAAGGAAGTCTCACGGAAATTCCCAAATAATCCAGGCTGTTGCTAAGACAATAGATTGCTCTCTTCATACTGACAGCTGGGCCACATTACTGAGGACAATACCCACAACTCAGTGAGGACAACTCAATGAACTTGGAGAAGTTGAGCTGGTGCCTACTTAGAACCTTCACCCCCATTTTAGTGTTGTTGTTATTGGGAGGTATTTGGCAGGCTAGCAAAGGAGAAACAAACACCAACCCAGTTACAAAACCTTTAACTTACAATCTGTATGCCTGCAAGATGTGCTAGGGCAATAGCGGCACAGAATGTATAGGAGAAACCAATCAATGTCTTGTTTAACTTAAAGCCCACTCCACAAGACAGAGCCCATACCCACCCTGATCTGTGTGACCAAAAACCAAAGACAAGGTAGTACAGAGACTCAGGGTAAAACCTAACACCACTTCTCTAAAAACTCACTTTGTAGACCAGGCTGGCCTCAAATTCGCAGAGATCTACCTGCCTCTGCCTCCTGGAATTAAAAGTGTGTGCCACCACTCTTATTCACTCTTTTAGTGGGAGGGGGCGTGTGTGTCACAGCGAGCAGGCACAGGGCAGAGAACAAACCATTTAAGTCAGTTCTCTCCTGTAATGTCTGTCACTCCAGCTCCAGAGGATCCAACATGTTCTTCTGGCCTCCAAAGCGCCCCCTCATACACACACACACGCATGCGCACACACACACGAGTACGTTCCAGGACATCCAGTGCTATGCAGAGAAACCCTGTCTCAGAAAGCAGAAAAAAAAAAAAAAAAAAAAAAAAGGACACTATCAAACCTGTTGAGCTGCCTGCAGGCTGGGTTCCCAGCTTGTGTAAGCTGCCACCCACCCGCTGGAGGAGTAGGCTCTGCTAACTGTCTTTGAGTCATTTCTGCTTCTCTAAGTAACCCCTCACTCATATGCCTGAGAGTAACTCCCATAGGACTCACGGTCCCCCAAGTTGAACTTTGGTGCTATCCACTCTTTGGTCTGTAGTGGGCTCCCCCTCTGGGATGAGTAGATTTGTGTGTTGTGTGTGGAAAAATCTTGTCATACAAGATCATATCGATTCTTGAAAATAGTTTAGATGTGGTGATTTACCAGAGTCCAGGAAATGAAGAGCTTCGGTCACATTCTGTCACCATCTTTAGGCATGCTGAGTTATGCTATTAAGGTATGCAGTTTTAATTTTGTCCCATACTACCTATCAAGATAAACTTTATTCCCTTTATTTTAAAAGGTCTGTATGTAAGTTTGATTTTGTACATGTTTTAATTTGTTTTCAATTAGAGGGTTTTCTTGAATTTAAAACCAAATGCAGCCGGGCGGTGATGGCGCACGCCTTTAATCCCAGCACTCGGGAGGCAGAGGCAGGCGAATCTCTGTGAATTCGAGGCCAGCCTGGTCTAGAAGAGCTAGTTCCAGGACAGGAACCAAAAGCCACGGAGAAACCCTGTCTCGAAAAATCCAAAATAAATAAATAAATAAAATAAAACCAAATGCATGCCAAGTGTTATGTCGAATGCCTTTAATCCCAGGACTAGGGAGTCAGAGGTTGGTGGATCTTATAAGCCAGCCTGGTCTACACGGTGAGACCCTATCTTAGAACTAAAAACTAAATTAATTTAAATGTGTTTATAGAGTCTCTAAGCCATGACTTAGTATGAAATACTGCTCAACCTAGCCTACCACTCCCTGGAACCCTGTTAGCTACACAAACCAGGAACTTTCTTATTAGCACTAGTGCGGATCCTAATCGTGTGATGGGCAAGAAAAGTGTGTGTTCAGGCGTTAGCACCAAGCATGGGCAGGAACAGGCATTAGCATCAAGGACATCCTGGAAGTCATAACAGTTATGACTTTCTTAGTTTACAGATCCTGGAACAACATATTAATTACATTCTTGAAAAGTGTTCGATTCCAAGAAAATGACACATTATGCCATTTTCTAGGTGTTACTTTAAAAAATAACAATTTGTGGCAGCTTCTCCCAGGATGAAAACAAACCAATAATAGTGGAGTAATATCATTTCCCTTCAAGGTCAGTGACTTTCCTACATATCAGATCTCTAGTGTGGTGTTTAAAATTTGCCACTATTATCTTTTGGAGGGGGGTGGTAGGGTATCACTGTAGAGGGCTTGCCTAAAAATTATAGAAGGTATAGATTGTAAAGAAAGATTAGGGAGCTAAGAAAAGAAAAGGAAGAGATTGATTCCTGATTCACCCAGATGTAAACAAGCTTTTTCTGCCATACCTTCCCCGTCATATTGGACTGGAGCCCCTTAGACCATAAGCCCAAATTAATCCTTCCTCTGTCCAGTCATCTGATGGTGGTTGCTACATCTTCTTATCAGCTTGGGAGGGATGTAACCCTATAAACTGTGATACTGTGCCCTCCAGCAGGGACCCAATGGTATCACCACACCCAGTGAAGAGCAAGCCTGTAATACCTGCATGACGCCGGAGGGAGACGAACCAGCCAGAATTTGGCTAGTCTGCAGGTTTGCCATGAAGCCATAAACTACTTGAACTATAGGCAAAAATGAAATTTTCACTGTGATTGTGGAATCAGCAAGTTAAGCAATTTAAAAAGATTAAATCAAAGGTAAATTCTTGCCATAAGTACAATGACAACTTTTTTGGGGGGTTATACTGCTTTTGTCAGAGGCCTTATCCTGATCCTGAGATGAGGTTCTAGATGATTCAGTCTGTGGTCTGTAAAGACCAGTTCCATATCAGGTATCTTGGTGCCACGCCCCCTGAGTGCGTGGATTTCCAAGAGACAGTGTGCCAGGCCCATGTGAAAGGCTGTTCTTTCCCGTCAGCTTCCTCTACCCAGCTGGCAGTCACGGGAATATCTGCTGAAGGTGGCGGGCTGCTGCGGTAT